TAAGACGGCTGGCCCCTTCCCTCACCTATTCACTGAAGAGCTGATTGCATTCAAATTACAGTCTGAATTGCAATGAAAGTAGGGTGCGTGGCGCATCCCAGAAGGGACCCAATCAACGTCTCTCCACCTTTCATGCGAAGAAGTTAATATTGCATCTTGGAGCTGTAATTATGGGTAAATTTTCACATCACTTTACCGTTAACTATGGTAAGGTCGGAGATAGTGTACAGAGTAGTTTTGTGTGGTATTCAGAATGAGTCACGCCTCTACCATGTATTAATTCTTACTTCCAGAACCGATTGAGTTGTGCTAGAATTTGTGGTAACACGAACACGCAAACCAAAATATCGGCTCCCCAGTAATTACTTAATCTGAAGTTTGAAAATGTGAAAGCCTCAACATTAGAGAATAAAAGGTGAGTGCATGGCGCATAAATGTTATTAATTACCGCCATTTTGTCGTTCTCATACGTGATCAGGAGCGATGATCACTCGAGAAATAGAAGTTTTTCTCTTAGAATATAGGATTTGAAAATATGCACCTTCTTCTCGTAGGGTTCTCTTGCTCGTGCTCGATCGTAACCAACATTGTGACCAATAGCAACTCGAGGCTTTTCGGAACCTGCATATCAAAATACATTTCTACAAGCTGCATAACAGATAGGACTTCGCATCGGCTCCAGAGCGAGAATTAGAAACAACCAACCTCCAAGAGGAATCAAATGTTCAAGCCTGGCTAGCAACGGAACAGGTGTAAGATGCACAAGGCGCTCGCTGCACCAACAATACCTGAAAGGCAGATTTGAAAACTGAAGGTGTTTGAACAACTGCAGAAGTAGAAAAATAAAGGGGGTTATAATTAAAAGTTTATTCATTTACCAAGCTTTGGCAGAGAGTGCAACGGCCAGAGTTGGCAATTGACCGTCCAGAACACATGTTTCAACATCAAAAAAGAACACGTCTTCCAATGGCCATTCCACCTAAATGCATATCAATAGAAGCAAGCAAGCACGTTGCGCTTTCATAGTCGGTCTTCCGATCATGACGATGACCAGCCATCGAATAGTCGTTGTATCGACCCGGTCTGATCGTACCTCGCCGTGTCGACTATCAGACGTTCCAGACAACCTGCACGTATCCAATGTGCACGATCGTTGTGATCGCAGGACCGGCTATGAATCGCCCTGACAAACACCTTGATGGGAATTCAAAGGAGTTTGAATTGATGAACTTACTTGCTCGACAACTCCTCCATGATCATACCTCGTCCAACCTACATCACACTTCCACTGAGAAGGCTTGGGAAAAGTAGCTGGAAATGAGGCTGCCAAATCCAAGTACTCCCTGTATGTCTGCGTTAGTTCTCATCAGCGACGATCCTGCGCGAAAAGATGGAAGTAAATCAGAACATAAAATGGAAACCCAGACAGCCGCGCGCAAAACCCTGGAGGCATTTTGGATCCGGTTCAAGAATCCAAAAATGAACCGCAGGGGAGAATGTGTGTCAATAACGCGGGAACTAACCCCCTATATAAGGTTAGCCTTCCAACCGGAACCCTGAACTCTGATCAGTCTGATATCCGCTATACTGTCGTTCTGTGAGCTGATTCCGCTGATCGGGAAGGTACGGTACTTTATCTGCCTATTAATTATGTGATGGCTTAGCTGGTCTCGAAGGTCTCGTAGGGTAGGGAGACATTTGGTCGGATAAATCGTGAATTGGTTTCCACCTTTTTTAGGCTCCGAAGAAGGCGAAATCGCCGAAACGTTAGCCGACGGAATCATTATCAACCTCGTGCTGTTAAGTCAAATAAATTCGTACTGTGCCGAGGTTCATCGAGAGTCGAACATGGCGATAAAATGGATGTGTTGTGATGGGTGAAATGATGTGAGAAACCAGATGCTGAGAAAAAATTCACTATAGGAGTAGTGTACCAACAACCACTCAGTCAAATAACAGCGGGGCATCGATAAATTTTTAGAATGAAAGCAAAACAAAACAGCTAAAGAAATGCCGAATCCGATTTCCGGCACCAGGAGAAGCTTGATAGCATGCGGAAGTGTAAAGAACCCTGTAGCTGCAATGGTTGGAGGGACCGAGGAAACCCCAAGCAGCTTCTCACTAAGCGCGGCAAACCACAGTAGATAAAAATTTCAGCACCTCGCGAAAAACCAAGTTGAGAAGCCCGCGATAAGGAACGGAAACCAAACCGATTAAAAGCCCGTCAGTCAATTGACATAGCAAGAAATTACACTGTTGAACAAACCTGAAGTGTTCTTGCAGAGATGGTGATCTCAGTTTTGGCAACTGGATAGGAATCTGCTCGGCACTGGAAGTTGAGGGCACATCGCTGCGAAAAAGATGGCGATGAAGATTTTCAGGTACTGTGAGTATCCGCTGAGGTTTGAACTATAATGAATAGCTGATATTTCAGTTGG